CCCCAGGCCATCATTCACCACCTGTGGTTCGGCTATGACGTGAAACGCGCCGTGGAGGAACCCAGGCTGCATAACCAGCTCTTGCCCGCCACCACCACGCTGGAGAGGGACATGGACCAGGTGGGTGCGGGTGGGCACTCACGGGCTGGCAGCCCGACCCCACGTTGCCAGTCCTCTGAGCACCACCTCTCCCCCCTCCTCCCCCAGGCGGTGATATCGGCCCTGGCGAGCCGCCATCACCAAACCGAGTTCACGTCCACCTTCATCGCCGTGGTGCAGGCTGTCGTGCGGACGGCCAGCGGCTGGGCGGCTGCGTCCGACTCGCGGAAAGGCGGGGAGCCTGCGGGATACTGATGCGCGGGCGGCCACGCTGACCGGTGACCCAGGGACGGATGCCCTCTGGGGCCAGGAGCTGGACTTTGGGGGCCTGCGTGGCCCCCCGGAATGGCCAAGCTGGGCAATAAACAGAATTGTGGCGCCAGGCAGGCTGGTGACCAGGTCTCCGCGTCCCCTAGCGTGGACGGCGCCGCTTCCTCGTGTGAGCCACCAGGGGGCGCGCCCGCCAAGGCTAAGACCGGTGGGCGGGGCTGGGGCCGGTGGGCGGGGCTGGGGCCGGTGGGCGGGGCTGGGGCCGGTGGGCGGGGCTGGGGGCCTGGGGAGGCAGCCTTGTTGGCCTGTGCTGGGGGGAGTGGGGCTGGGCGCTGAGGTCTGAGCTAGCGTCCACGTGTGGAGTTCCAGCTGGGATGGGGGATGTTCGGTCTGGAGAGTGGAGAAAACATTGCCAGCAGGAGCTCAGCAGGGTTTTTCCAAGCACAAACCTTGTATCCACCCACCCCCCAAACTGGGGTCACCTCCAGCAGGGCTGGGGACTTAGCTGGTACACTGGCCCTCCAAGCCTACTTCCCCAAACCCAAGGCAAACTCATTGCCATCATAGTGACTGTACAGGGCCGAGTAGACCTGACCCTATGCACTTCCAAGATTGTGATTCTTTGCAGAACTGGAAACCACGTCTTTCTCTCTCAAAGCAGCTAGTGGTTTTGAACTGCAGACCCTGCGCTTAACAGCCCAAAGCATAACCGCGACGCCACCAGGGCTCCTAAGCCTCCCTTGGGGTGGGGCTGGGGGCTCTGCTTTTTAATTTCTCCATCGGTTTTATTGGCGTATAATTCGCATACACAGTCCAGTGGTCCAACCATGTCAAGACAAGGTGTACGGTCACCATGACAATCAGTGTTAGAGCCTTCTCTTCATTCTTGGGCTCACCCACCCCCCAACCTCCTTGCCGCACCTCCGAGGAGTCATTCATTCAGTTCTTTGTAGATGCCTCTGTCTTGGATGTCATAAACAGCAAAACAACAAGAATAACAAAGTAAGACAGATAAAAACCCCCATTGAAAAGAAGCAAAAACATTGAAGACTAGTGTTGTGCCGGGCTAGATCAGCCATACCACTTTATTAACAATGAACACCTTTATTAAACAGCTGGATTGAAAGGGGGCTATCACCCTGAAAACACTCCCAACCCAGGACAAAGAAATTCCAGAATTTTTTAGAGTTGGAAGTAGAGGGCTGGCTGAAGGGGAGGGACACTCGAGCAGTTACCTTCTAATCAGATCGGCAGGGCATGGGGGTACTAGGGGGAACAGCACTGCTGCAGGTAATAATTCAGGGTCTAACAGGATAGTTTACATTTCTTGCTATTTGGGCAGGCAGAGTCTGGAGACATCTCCAGAGACTCCAGGTCTGTCAGGAGAAGGAGGAGGGTGAAGTGGGGGCTGGTTACTAGCAGGGGTTGACGGCAATTGCAAACACATCGGCATTCCTCAAGCTAAGCTGGGTTACTACACTAGGGAAAATTTAAATGGATCAGACGGGAGGTCACATGACAGGGTGTGCTAAATTTTAGCTGCATCGGCAACAATCCACTTTCACGGGGTCTGGTCATTTCTACTCACACCATCCTGACCACATGCCAGGTGGCCTGGTGGCAACGCCACAGCCAGGCACCACCTTGCCGAGTGAACATAGGGGACTGGGGGGCCTGGGCAGAGCTCCCTTCATGAGACAGGACAACCCGAGTCCCCAGCCTGCCCAAAGGGAATGAGGGTCCTGTGCATGTGGAGCTGGGGCTTGTAGGCAGCCAAACTGCCCATGGGGCTTCTAGGGCAGCGACTAAGGGTTGTTCAAAGAACAATCGATGTTTCTGAACGACAGTGCTGGCGAAGAATAAGGAACCTAACCTGAATGGACATTGATCTTGGGGAAAACCAAACAGTTGGGAGGGTCTTTAGAAACAAGGATAAAAACCAAACTCACCGCCATCAAGCTGCTGTTGACCAATAGCAACAAGGACGGGAGGAAGGCCCTCCAGGAGACGGACTGAGCCCATGGACGCAACAACGGGCTCAAGCATGAGAGCAGTTGTGAGGATGGCGCAGGACTGGGCAGTGTTTTTGTTCTGTTGTGCGAGGGGTCACTATGGGTTGGGACTGACTCTATAGCACCTACAACAATAGCCAGGTTCCCAAGGCTGTGGGAGCAGACTCTCACAGGGTGGCTGGTGGGCTCGAACTGCCAACCTTTGGATCGGTGGCCCAATGCTCTAGCCACCGCACCACCCAGGCTCCTTCCCAGAGGGCAGGCCTACAGGGTGATTTGTTTGGTGATGCAGAGCACTGAGGGGTGCTAGGGAACCCTGGGGTGCTCAGCCTGGGCCACCTCCGTGCTGAATTTCCCCTGAAGCCCCTCGGAGTTCCATGACGTTCCCTCTCATGTCACCTGGGGCAGAGGAGTCCTGGTGGTGCAGTGGTTACATGTTGGGCTACTAACTGCAAGGTCAGCAGTTCAAAACCACCAGCCACTCCTCTGGAGAAAGATGAGGCTCTCTACGCTTGTGAAGACTTACAGTCTTGGAAACGCTCAGGAACCATTTTATCCTGCCCTATAGGCTTGTTATGAGGTGGAAGGGAGTTTGGTTTTGTCTCCTGGGAGGACATGCAAGTTCCCTCCCAGCTGGGCCTCCTGGCCCCGTGCCTCCAGCCAGCACCAATGTTGTCCCAGCCCCACTCCCGGCTCTGGCCCCGAGTGCCTGGGGTGCTGTGGGAGCTGGCCCCAGCCCAGGAAGACACTGTGACTCCAGATTGAGCAATGTCACTGAAGTGAGGGATGGGGGGGCGTGTCGGAGCTAGAGAGGAGCGTGGGACAGACTTCCAGCAAGGTCCATACCCCTTTCCCTTCTCTAGGGCCTCCAGGGTCCAGGCTGGCCAGGGCTCTGTCCCCGGGAACACGGTAGGCTGTGGGTCTTGGGTTTTCGATCTGATTGCTTGGGCTCAGCTGAGAGGCCATGAATGGCTATGAGTGGGCACCCAGCCCTGTCAAGGGGCACCTGCCCAGCTGCCTCCCTTCTGGGTGGGCACAAAGCCCTGGGAGGGCAGAGAAGGAAGCAGGGCTGGGACTCAGGACAGGCGGGCTGCTTACTTCATAGGCTGGAAACCGGGGGACACCCTGCTCCCCAGGTCAGGCTGTGGTCAAGCTGAACTTGAACAAGCTCTTGAATGACTTGGCATTGAGTCCCTGCCTCCTGCCTGTTCCCCTGCTTTCCTGGAAACTCCCCTGGGCAGGTTGGCAGCCCGCCCGGCACTGAGAGAGTTAAGGGCGGGGGTGGGTGGGAGGACTGTCCTCCTCTCAAAGAAGACGCCCGCCCCCACCACCAGACGCCCAGCCAGGACCTCCAGGGGCTGAAATCTGAAAGTTAAGCAAGTGGCCAGAGTCACTTTGAGTGTTCAGCTGGGAAGAGGCCCTGCTGCCCCATCTGTGGGTCTTGCTTGGTGGTCTATCTGGCTGACCATCTCTGCCTCTGTCCATTCATCCCCCCAGTCATGGCTCAGCGCAGTGGGGTCACACTTAGCCTGGTGGTGCTGGGGCTGGTCCTGGCCATCACCGTGCCTCTGGTGGTCTTCTTCCGACACCATGCCCCCTGCGGTCCCCGAGCCTTTGTCCACGCGGCCGTAGCTGCCGACTCCACCGTCTGCTCGGACATTGGACGGTGAGTCCGAGGGGTGGGGGCTCTGCGTGGCTGTGTGGCTCTCGGCAATGTCCAGAGCATGCTGGGGCGGGGGGCTGACACCATGGGTCCTGGCTCCCAGCTGGAGATGAGGCTGGCCTCAGGAGGTGTAGGCAGAGCAGGTGGGTTCTCAGGGACCAGCTTCACCTAGGTGCTCAGTCGGACTCCCATGGGGATGCTGGCAGAGCCATTCCTGCCGGGCTGTGTCCCCATCCTGGAGCACAGGCCAGGGGTCAGCACACCCAGCCCTGACCTGTGTGTGGGAGGGGGCACCGGACACTGCTCAGGGCTGGACGGGGGAGGGCTGTGACATAGAGACCTGAACCCCCCGGGCTGTAGAACCACGCGTTCCCCCCTCTCCCTCAATGAATGCTGGGCCCTGACGTTTGTGGGTTGAGGGTGGGTGTGCAGCTGGTATTTCCCACACCTCTTCCAAGAAGCTCAGCCCTAGGGAACCCCTCTGCTCCCCCCCCCGTTGCCGCCCCCCAACATCTGCCTCACGGCTGCTGATCATAAATGCTGTGTCATTGAGGGGGACTGTCCCCAAGTAGAGAGTGCAGAGCAGGCCTCCTCCCCTCCCCCTACCTGTCCCTGCCCCCAAAGCTCCCACCCCAAGCTCTGTACCCACAATAGTGACTGAGGGTACAGAGGATTGAGTGGGGGACGCAGAGGATGCCCCCACAGCGGGGAGAGAGCC